TTAGAGGGATTTGAATATTTTGCGGGGGGTCATGGGCTCCCTGAGTCGCAGGACTGATTCCGTTGTGACAAGCTGGCAACGGGAAGCACGGTCACCCAGCTGTGTGTGGTTCTATAAGCGCAATTAAGGGCATTGGGGCCTTCCTTGGTTTTGCTATGCTTTCGGGCTTCGGCTTCGTGATTAAATAGCTAAAATGGAGGAGGCAAGTTTTGGGTTCTTGTATATATTTTGTAGGTATATACCCATATATATATATATATATATATATATATATATATTATGGGTATAGATGTATATAATATGCAGGGGCAAGAGGAGGGTCGCTATATATATATATATATATATATATATATATATATATATATGTTTACCTAATTAATATATTAATGGAGGAGGGGCACCAGGAGCCCCTATACTTTTGCAGCTGCTGAACTTTGATCCGGCCAAGCAGATGACCACTGTTGGGCCAACGTGCGTCTGGATAGTGAGATAGCTATATAGGACTTAATCCATGTCCTGCAAATCAAAGTGTGGCCCCTCTGTGACAGAACCCGTCGTCTTGGTGTCCACCTGAGTCTGGCCTGCATCACCTGACGGATCACTCTCTTCATCATTCAGGAAAGGGCGCCAGGCTGTCAGCACGTTCACACCATCATCTGCTCCCGTACTGGCCTCTGCAAGTGTGGAGGATGGAACCATAGTCAAAGAAGGGCCAGAGGACTGCCCGTCTTGGTCACCAGATCCTGCACCCACATCCACTGGAGCCGGTTGGGAATAATCGCAACGACGAGAATGATAACGGCCGGCACTGTGGTGGCACACGGAACAGCACGAACGAAATCCGTTCCCAGTCAATCGGGGACATCCCATGCTAGAGCACGGATCCGTCGCTTGCCTGGTCTGAGGCCGGTCCCTTGCTAATCTCCTCTGAAAGCGTCGGCATCGACTGGTGTGCGCAACTCCAGCAGATTGTACACAGAGGGAACAGCAGGTGTCATGTCTGCCCACGAAAAAATGAACAGTACATGCAGCTACTCTGCATTGCCGGAGATGAGGAGCAGCAAAGATGTTTGCCATGATATGCAGAACTATCCAAGGGGCCGGTGTCAAGCCAAAACTGCAATTTGGGGCATGGGAATCATCATTTAACTTAAGTAGAACCAAAGTCGCCGACCCCGAATCAAACGGAAAAGGGAACCCTAGAGACCCTTTGGGAATGGGGGGCGGTGTTGCGGTGCTATATATATAACTCTACATATGCTAGCTACATGGATAAATTGCTAAGTATATGGGTTTATGGGTAAAAGAGCTCTGTGCTCCATGGTGTCTGAGTTGGCATCGACTGCGGTGATGCAGTGCAAGGTGTGCTACCGTGGCAATCCTATAATGCTGAAGAACTCGGGGCTCACCTTGAGGTTGGGCTTTAGGAGCTGCAACCCCAAATTCCAACAAACTCCCGCAAGAGTTCTGATAGGTACATATATAGCGAGACACATATAAACGAAACGACAGATGAACACAGATAAAGGGAGGTAGATAGATATGTAGGAATATAATTCTCTGGAAGTCTAGACTCAAACTTCAAGCCCAAGGCCCTTGAAACCATCAACTCCAGGCTTTTATCCGAAAACAGAATCGGGCCCCCGCTGAGTGTCGTATGGCCTCATAAAGGGGCTTAATTTGCTTTAAAATAAGGAGATATGGGTTGCTAGGATCGAATCATATCTGTATAGGAACCCAAGCCAACCCTGGCCTACAATGTACATGGGGTGTGGGTGACGAACCCTGCAGCCGAAACCTAAATCCCGGGCCTCACGAACCCTGTATATATATATATATATATATATATTACATATATATATATATATATATAGAGATCGATACACGCATAGATTGGGTGTATGTATATGTATATATATATATATATGTTTGTATGTGTGTGTGTATATATATATATATATATATATATATATTATACATATAAACCCAGTCTATGCGTGTATCGATCTATAATATATATATATATATATATATATATATCAGATATATGGCCTTTATAACCCCGTATAAACCCCATTTTTTAAAGGCCCTATATCTCCAAACTCACGGAACCAACCCCACCTCCACATCCAGCTTTCGCTTGCGGGACCGCAGGGCCGGGATCATGTCGACGATGGCGCGTGCAAAGGCCGGAGGATATGTCCTGGGCAATTATGGATGGGTCCAGCTACTGGGAAGATCTATATCTAGAAATCATATAGAAATAGATAACTTATTCTTTGGAGTATATAATTCGGTCCGGGCACTGGGAATCCTTGAGACGTTTGTCCCCTCGGAATTTTCTAGTGCCATCCTTGCCCCTGTAGTAGATAGCCGCCGGTTTTGCTTGCAATCGTTGGCTTCGCGAAAGTTTGCCATGATGTAGTGCAGCTACAGCCATATCGTTGCTGAGGATCACGGTCCGCTTCATGCTTTTAGCTCCATAGGCTCTCATCCAGAAGTTCAGAGTATAAGCCTCGGACAGAAACTAGGATTTTACTGGAATCCTCAAAGAAACTTATTAGAGGGTCTACATTATCTATGGGTTAGAAGGTGCCCCCACCCTGTAATAGTGGTATAATAGGAATATAATAGGGCCCTAATATAATATAATCCTTATGGTCACTATTACAGGGCGGGGGCCGCTTCTAATCTATGGGAGTTATTAAAAACCAGATGACCAATATACACGAAAGGAAACTTTGGATCCAATCTCCCGCGTCATTCGAATCACCTGCCCCAGTCTCGGGTAGTTAAGCATCAGGGATCTTGCAGGTTGTTCAAGGACGTAAGTGCCTTCCATGGCAATAACCAGTAGAAGCAGGAGGCAACACCTGGGAGGGGCTCTGGGTTGTGGGATGTCTAGCAACATATGTTTTCAAAGCTTCAGATATTACATTAGTCGCAGACAAGTGGCCGGGATACAATGACGTTTGCTTTCTGCACCGAACTAATTTCTGGATTCCCGGTTGGTGTGAGGATGGAGCGCCCACTCACCCCCATATTCACGGGGACAAAGGAACTACAAACCGGTCCCAGCACCAAGACGACCTTCTGGAACTTCCCTTGCAGCAGGAGCATGCATGCCAACCTGGGCCGCGGATCGACACCAGGCTTCCACGGTGTCTAGATATCATGCATTCACTTTGTTCTTGAGGGCTTCAAGCCTCCAGGGTTTAGGGTTTAGGGTTTATAAGGTTTAGGGTTTAGGGTGTCTATACAGAGCTTACATATGGGTATATAGTTTTATGAGGTCTAAATCATAAGTCGAAACCTGGAAGTGTTTCTGAAGACACCCAAGGAACGCAAACCCAGCCTCCGATGTTACATCCATGGGCGGCTTCTTTTTTTTCTTGGAACAGGTAGGCTTATCTGCAGCCGGCAAGAGGCCGATGTCTACAGATGCGACTTCATATCCGTCCCTGCTCGCAAGCTTGCTAATGCGACCAACACCACAAAACAGATCGACAACGTCCCAAACTGGAGGACCTCCGAAGAATGCTTGGCTGCTGATCAGGATCAAGAGGTAGATGAAATCCTGGGGCAGGCAGTATACGTTGCAGCGTTATGTAGCTCCTGTAGGGTTATACATAACTGCAAACCAATCCTTGGGCGCCCCCATCTTTATCAATCGCTTCAGCACCAGATGTCTCTCTTGAGGAGTCATGGCAGGGAATATATGAAAATAATGCGGTCTCGGAGCTTATAAGGCTGCATGCAAAATTGCGTGCATTGGGCAACAAAGCTGCATGTCTGCCAGATCCCAACTGCATAATTGCAAGCTCGTGATTTGGCAGCCCTTCTAAAACGAGTCAGGTAGACGGGTGCACCTTTGAAAGTACCCCCTGGCTGCGAGGAAGCGCTGGCCACCCATCCCGAGAAGGAGCACCTGCGTGCATGAGCTTTCTCGGCTTAAGCTTGTCATGGGGGAGGATCACAGAGCTTTGAGCGGAAGCATTTAGATCGAGGGTTGGGCCTTTGTATTGAAGAAGTCTCAGCTGTTTTCTAAACAATAAAGGGCTGGGGCTTTGTATAGGGGATCGAGGATCTTTCATCGGAAGCATTCCGAGGGTTGCACGGGGCTTGGGCTTTCATGGGAAGCGGGCTAATGGGGGAGGATCAACTCAAGCTTTGCAGTATATGTGGATCGGATGCATTTACAGGGTTGGTGCAGAGCAGTTCACTTCGTCATTTTCCAGCAAGCAGCGACTTTCGGTCAGAGCTTAAAGAGCTCCAAATCCAGAGCAACAGCCGATCATGTCGTCCTGTGTTTCAACTAATTTAAGAGCTATATAGATCTAGTTTAATAGACTTACTTCAGACAAGAAACGACCTCTTCGACATAAGACGAGGCAATCAAAATGTGCAGTTGGGGTATGAATGCCCCTCCCCAGCACATCTTCAACCGATGTGTTTCAAACCACGTCCCAACTCACACAGCCCGTGATTCACGGGATCAGCCTCATTCGTTCACAGCATCACCTTACTTGATGGCAGGAGCAGCGACGCTGGGCAAAGTGAGGGTTGGCCGCAACTCCGAATCACCATGTATGGTGTAATTCACGATCTATATTTATATTAGTTTCGGGGGTTTATAGGGCTTGGGGTTTAAAATATATAAGAGCTCGGCACTGGAACTGGGAGACTCGAAACCCTGGACCCCTGACCCTCTGAACCACCCTAATTAACCTCAATCCCAGTAACCCTGCTTCTGAAGGAAGCTACGAAGAGTATATAGGGAAGCCAGGGCACGGTGCTCGTTGAGGAACTTTCGCGCCTGAGCACGTGCAACCTTGCCGTAGCCGGAAGCATCCAAAGGCCGCTCGAGAAGATGCTGATATGCAAAGCTCCAGAATTCGCCCTGCACAGGGTACATACATAGCTTGTTAAATGTATATTATATGTTATATCTATCTATATATATATATATATATATGTATATCATAGTATATATGTATATATATATATAGACACATATAAAATCGTTTATATATATATATATACATACATGTCAATATAACTATATATACATATATACATGTATACACATACGCATGTTAGCAGATCATGTGTCGTAATCGAATAAATATGACACAAAGTTCCCACCTCCCAAGTGCTCGGCGAGTCCACCTGGGGATACACAATCTTTAGGAATGAATCCACCATTGCATTGTAACGATCCAGCGCTGAACCCGCCGTCTTTGGCATCCGTCGACCAGCAAAGGTCTTTCGGCGGTTCCCGGCCGCCTCGTCCTCTGCAGGCTCCTCAGTCTCAGCATCCGGTTTGGCTCTCTTTTTTGTAGCAGCCTTGGCCTTCGCCTTGGGCTTGGGTGACTCCTTCTGGGCGCCCTTGGACTTCGGTGACTCCTCGCCAAGCTTGGACTTGGGTGACTCCTGCTGAAGCTTGGGCTTGGGCGACTCCTTCTGGCCGCTCTTGGACTTTGGTGACTCCTTCTGGCCGCTCTTGGCCTTTGGGGCCTCCTTGGCAGGCTTCTTCCCACCAGGCTTCTCGGGCTTCTGGTCGACAAGCTCCTCCTGCGAATACCTCACCGTGCCATTGTCATTCTCATTCTCGGGCTCCGATGACTCCTCCGGCTGAACTTTGCGCTTCTTGCCTTTCGGCTTTTCATCCTCGGACTGGGTGTCGCAGCCACCGCGCCCACGGCCACCTCGCCCGCGGCCACCTCGCCCGCGGCCACTTTGCCCGCGACCACGGCCAGCTCGACCCCGGCCCCGAGTATTCCCTCCACGACCACGGCCCCTTTTGTCCTTGTCCGCTTGGGCCGCCTTCTTGAAGTTCTCACGTTGATCCGTTCGCTTCACAATGGGAGCCTGCTGGGGGTATACATCTACATACACATATGATATACACATATATATATATATATATATATACATCTATATAATGTTCAGGAGTCACACATACACGATCGTACAATGAAGTATATTATGCACGGCAAACATCAAGAAACCATCACTTGCGGGTGTTGCCTCAAAGCCATCGACATCCTCATCAGAGGGCTGCTCAGGCTCGGCTGACTCCGCCTGAGGAGCGACCTTCTCCGACTCCATCTGCCCCTCAGCCTTGAAAGATCCCACCTCAGGAGCCTCCGACCCCATCTGGCCGTCGGCCTTGGCTGATTCGATCTCAGGAGCCTCAGGAGGCACAGGAGCCACCTTCTCCGATCCCATCTGGCCTTCAGGAAGCGATTCACTTGGCCCACGATTGGCCACCTCTGCTCCCTTCCGCACATCGACTTCTGGAAGCACCTCTGAATCAGGTGGCATAGGAATGCCCCCCTCTGCTTTCTCCCGTTGCTCTTCAGCTGCCGAAAGCCAGTTGACCATCGCAGCATCAGCATCATACACCTGTGTCTCATCATGCATGACACCAGCACCTGAATAGGAAAAGTTCATGTACATATAAAGGTCATCATGCACACAAGTGTATATATTTAAGGACAAGCAGCTCGGGGCAACCGGAGGGGGCGCCGAAGCCTGCTGAGACCTCCTCAAAGCCAGCTGGTACCTGGTTTAGGGGGAGGCACTATACTCACTATACACCGAGTTTGCTAACCTGGCACACACTTAGATTAGACTTCATCTCCCGGCCTCAGGGCTGCTATCTGCTGCTCCATCTGGGCTTTTAAAAGAGCTCTCTCGTGCTCCGGGCCAGGGATCTCGAAGTGGGGAAGCTTAGCAAGCTTGGGCTTGGGTGTCGAAGGTGCTGGCTCACCAGGGCTTGGCGGTGCTGTCTGAGCGATCTTACCCGGAGGGGTTGCATTGGGATTCTCACGGGCTGCTGGCTCAGGTACCTTATCAGGCTTCTCACCTTTAAAGGGGTTGCTCAGGATTGCTTTGGGCAGTGGTAACGGCTCCGGATTGCTGGAGTGACTTGCTTCGGGCAGTGGTAACGGCTCCGGATTGCTGGAGTGACTTGCTTCGGGCAGTGGTAACGGCTCCGGATTGCTGGAGTGACTTGCTTCGGGCAGTGGCAATGGCTCCGGATTGCTGCAGTCAGTTGCTTCGGGCTCCGGGTCCGGATTGCTGGAATCACTTGCTGCAGGCGTCAGGGCTCCTAGCGCCAGGGTCGTGGCCGACTCAGCGGACTCATCGAGGATAGGAGCCCCTGAATCATCCGCAAGCACATGTCCATCACTGGCATCGCCCACATATGGATCATCCACCGAACCATCCTCTAACATGAGCATGTCCGGGGCCACATCATCATCCGTACGAAGCTCGGTCCAGTACCATTCCAGGATATGAAAGAAATCCTCCAGAGCCGGATCCTGGTTTAAGACATATATATATATATATATCATACATATACATATATATAATATTATGTACGTGCATGTATATATATATATGCATGCTACCCTGGATTTTTGAAGAAGGCTGTCTCTAAATAGATATACATATCCATATTATATAGGACTTATAACCTACCCATATAAGGCTAGGGAACCCTGGGCCGCGAAGCACCACTCTTCAAGCGGCGGAGCCCGTGCGTAAACAATTTCTTGATTCCGTCCGAGTCAAGCTCAGCTTGCAGAGGGTCGTGCTTCATATCCATGTGAGCAGGGCCACGCAAAGCATTGACCTGGCCATCAACACCATGCATGCGATTCCTTTTAAATTTTGGGCATCCCTGGTATAGGTGGTTTCAGCTGCATGCCTGCCTCTCGACGCATCACTTCTATCGGGATGATCATTGGGGAATCCATCGACGGACACCACCATTCCGCGACAATTTCCAGAATCCTCGCATTACACGCCATGCCTTTGCAGCTTGGCACACCAGTCGTCCGTTCCGAAGGCCATCTCGTCATATGGCCTTTCTCCCGCAACCGCCGACGAACGGTGCGATCAGCTTCCAGCAGCCTTGCCAAGCTTCCCGGATCTGGCCCCGGTGCCGCATCGGCCATGCTGGTGCACCCAGCACACGAGTGAAACTACAACAGCAGAGCAGCTGTGAACCCAAAACCCTGCAATTCGCAATATGTAGCTCATGCCCAGTGACATGTGCAGGCTGCAGGAGCTCCAGAGTTGAACCCGCCCTAGTAGCCCCGGGGCACCTTGATGGAGAAGTCTCCCACCGGATGCCACCAAAAAACTGTACCTGTGAAGGAATGGAATGGCTTACGGTCGAACGTGCTATATATATATATACACACACTATGTATATATATATATATATATCTAAAAATATATATGGATACATACATACATATATACATATATGTATATATATATACATATATATGTATATATATATATACATATATATATATATATATATATATATATATTATACAGCATCGCGGGGAGGGCGCACTCTAATTAGTTGTTGCCAGCCATCGACAACCATGGCTGCATAAGAAGACCTGCCTATACTTGGAGGGTCGGGGGACTTAGTATAGGTAGTATATAACTCTATAGAAGTATTTTACCCTAAAAGGGACCCTAATTGGGGTTATGGTATATACCTGTAAGTCCCTAAAATAACCAGTACTAAGACCCCCGACCCTCCAAGTATAAGTCCTCCTATATAGGTCTACAACCCATGCTTGCTTCCGAGAGTTCACCGAACATCTTTAATGTGAGAATCGAGCGACTGTCCAGCGGAAAAAGAACCGAAACATGTCAACTTGGCTGTCGTGCACCTGGAGAGAAGCAGAGCGGGCAGGCACAGGCCAGCAAGCCTTTCCACGGGCATCTTAGGGGTTTGTCAAGTTTAGAGGTCTTGGAGAGGGCACTTGTAAACCTACATGCGGATTGTCTGAACACACCGGTGGTATCAGACCCCTCCAAAACCCCTAAAACCCTTGATTCTAGAAAAGCGCCGACAGGCATAAATAAGTAGCGACAATGCAAATAACAGGTTATTTCTGAAACGACTATTATTTTAGGCGCCGGGGAGGGTCCAGGCAAACATGTGTGCAGGAAGCCGAAAGAGATCGGTGAGCGAGTATGCGGCCAATGGCATCTAGTAGCCGTTCTGCTCGCCCATGTCGCCGGTTCCCAGGCCTCTGGTCTCCAACGCTGCACCGACCGGTTTCAGCAAGTGAACCTCTGCACAGTTCGGGCGCAGAGAGATCCAGGGCGATGCTCCTTGGTGGACTCTGCAGGCTTGCCTGCTATTAATTCTGCAAGCAGCACATAGAAACACATTCACAAGGCAGGTGTGTGGGCGATAAGTTGGACATGGCAGCACATCCAGCGCCAGAACGCCCTCACAGCGATCCATGGGATGGCATCAAGACACGCGCCTCCGAAGGCCTATATAGGAAGCCCATAGGCGGCTCCTGGCGGGGTGAAGGAACCCACGCGTTGAGCTGAGCTAAGGCCCCGTGCAGCTCCCCGACTCCGCTCCATTCCAAAGCAACACTCTGAAGTCGCCCAGGTCTCCACCAGGAGCACCGCTTCACGTGCACTGCGAACTTCGCAGGTGCTCACGCTCCACGCCCCGTGACATGCCAGGTCTTCCTGGTCCATTCGGTCGTTTGGCCTGCGGCGGAACGTCGCAAGACTTCTCGTTAAAACACCCGCACCTGCTTCAGATCCTGTGTAAGTCAGGAACCTCATCTCAAACCGAGTGCCCTCAAGCCGGAAGCGCATACGAGGCTTCCGGTCTCCGGTCTTCTGCTAGACTCCTAGACGCTGCTGACGCTGCTTGACTGCTAGACGGGATGAACCACCGCTGCCAGCGCGCTAGTCACCCAGACAACAAAAGCTTTGCTTCGGTGTACAGTCTCAGGATAGTCTGACCTGCTCGTGCCGAGGTTGCAGATTTTGCTTGACGTGTCCTATCTGCGAAGACCTGCGATATGGACTCGTGCTCCCATGACGCAATGGGTATGTACGTACCTTTCTGCACTTAGACTTTCCCGTCTGAATACTTTCCGCACTGGCCGGGCGCGAGGACATCGGACGGTTGTTCGCCGGCAGGGACTCAGCGACGGCACCCTATCGGTGCCTGCAGACCCGTATGGCTTTTGCCAGCTCTTTCGCATGCGGCTTCGGACACTCTTCTCCTGCAGAGCTTATCTGTGCCCTCACCCGGTCAGAGTCACAGGCTTTCGTCTGCGCTGCAGCAGACTGGGGCACCTGCAAGAGAGTTCGAACAAGATCTCCATGGCACAACCTGCCACAAAAAAGCAGGAGAGTCGCCTTCGCCTGAAGATGCAACCTGGCAGCACCGCTCCACCAAGAACGCAACAGAGGCTGCGTGAAGTTTGCGATGCAAGTCTCAAGCCCCATTGGCCACATGTGAGAATGGAGTGCCTGCCCCGGCTTGCGAAACAGGAAAGGGTCGGGGAAAGCAACAACAACTGCGGATCTGCTTCGCTAAGCAAGTTTCTGTCTTAACTGCCTCTCAGGGTCCGAACTAAAGACCGCCAGCTTCACCCACCCCTCTGAATCGAACGCTGCAGCTGCCAAGCTTGTTCTCTTACATGCAGCCGCAAGACCGTCCCCGAAGAGCTCTTCCAAGTCGTAAGCATGGCAGATCCTTCGGCATGTAACGCAGATCACGAATGATCTCGGGGTGAGCGGTGGAACAAGACAGGACTAGAATCTGCTTTGGGGTTTCCATCCCAATCTTATACCCTTGTTCTTCAATGCACGTGAGCACCCTGGCTGCTGATTGCTCATCGGAAGGGCCTGGTCAGCGATCGAGCGATCGTCGCCGCAGGCGGTTGCTTGTGGCAGATTGGTGCATGCAGACTCGCATGGCTCTTGCCAGCTCTTTCGCGTTGGTTGGGGCTCCGGGCACACTGTCTCTGTTAGAGCACGTCTGCACCCTCACCCGGTTGCGGGCTCTCTGCACCGCAGCAGACTGGGGCACCTGCAAGAGAGTTCGAACAAGATCTCCATGGCACAACTTCCCACAAAGAAGATGGAGAGTCGCCTTCGCCTGAAGATGCAACCTGGCAGCACCGCTCCACCAGGAATGCAGCAGAGGTAGCGTGAAGCTTGCGACGCAGGTCTCAAGCCCCATTGGCCACATGTGTTTATGGCACTGGCGACCGAGAATGGGATGCCTGCCCCGGCTCACACAAGATGACAGGGTCGGGCAAAAGGAAAGAACTGCCCCGCTCCTGCAAGTGACTTCGAGTTGGAATCGCATAAATTTCTGCTCGACCCAGTTTCGACATACCTTGTTGTGCTGCGATTCCCTTTCTGGAACGCGCGATGTTCAGAATACGCTTCCAGCGCAGTTTGACAGAAACCGAACGACAGGCACTCCGTGCGACTCCGGGGCCATGTTCCGCAACTGGGCGCAATTTCAACTGGGTCGGTTCACTAAAGTGCAGAAGCAAGTGCTTTTCGACGAAACCTGTGATCTGTTTCGCTAAATTAGTCTCTGTATGGTGTTTACAGCCTTCTGGAGGCCCCCTACTATACGCTAAGAAGCTCAAGTTTCAACTTGAGATGCTCGGACTCAGCGACACTACCGGGACTGCGCATGAGCCCGGGCCATGGCTAAAAGAAAAGGAGCCAGAACGCGGCTTTTGCCTACAGCGCTCAGAGTGCTCTCTGACGCACCCAATTCTGCATTAACTGCGCCTCTCAGGGTCCGAACTAAAGACCGCCAGCTTCACCCACCCCTCTGAATCGAACGCTGCAGCTGCCAAGCTTGTTCTCTTACATGCAGCCGCAAGACCGTCCCCGAAGAGCTCTTCCAAGTCGTAGGCATGGCAGATCCTTCGGCATGTAACGCAGATCACGAATGATCTCGGGGTGAGTGGTGGAACAAGACAGGACTAGAATCTGCTTTGGGGTTTCCATCCCAATCTTATACCCTTGTTCTTCAATGCACGTGAGCACCCTGGCTGCTGATTGCTCATCGGAAGGGCCTGGTCAGCGATCGAGCGATCGTCGCCGCAGGCGGTTGCTTGTGGCAGATTGGTGCATGCAGACTCGCGTGGCTCTTGCCAGCTCTTTCGCGTTGGTTGGGGCTCCGGGCACACTGTCTCTGTTAGAGCACGTCTGCACCCTCACCCGGTTGCGGGCTCTCTGCACCGCAGCAGACTGGGGCACCTGCAAGAGAGTTCGAACAAGATCTCCACGGCACAACCAGCCAAAAAGAAGCAGGAGAGTCGCCTTCGCCTGAAGATGCAACCTGGCAGCACCGCTCCACCAGGAACGCAGCAGAGGTCGCGTGAAGCTCGATTTCCGTTCGTCGCCAGTTTTGATGCTACACTTTCTGTGCTGCGGACGCTTTGCTGATCATGAACTTTGACAACAAGCGAACGAGAGCGACTGTGCGTAAGTCCTGCACACAAGGGTCTACGTCGTTGCAGAGTGTTAATGGGACTCTTCGCAGATTGGCGTTGCATGTTTACAAGGCGCCAACGTACTGGGCATAGACAGAACTTGCGTACAGCTTTCACCTGTCCTGCAGAACGCTTGTGTTGTGGACCATTGATCGAGTTTTAAGCACCTCACAGGCCCTTAATTTGGCTTGATCATACAAGGTTGTATAGTATATGGGATCTATCCCTACCCAAGCTTTGGTTTATGTGCTTCTTGGACCAAACAAGGCTTTATGTTTGAAACCGCATCGAGAGCCGAAAAAGGGTCAAACGCGTACGGCAGCGATCGATCCAAAAGCCTGATGCAGGAGAGCTTGTTGACGCCCGGCACGGAGCATGATTTCAGGATTCATAGAGAGTTGACGCTGCTCTGCTTGCGGGCAAATCTTGCCGGCGTGCCGAATACCCGCAAAGGGACTTCGCGTTCAGGCCGATTGTGGCCACGGACAGAACTGACCTCGATCTCTTCTTATGCACAAGCCTCTCACCTGCTGGTGCGGCATAGTCAACTTCTTCAGCCTTCCCGCTTAAGTTGCAAAGACTGCAGGATGCCAGTCCCTGACGAACCGAAACTCCAAACAAAGCTCTCTCAAGGGAATCTCTTTCTG